AAATATCTTTAACTCCCTCCAGGTGCAAGCTCTATAGAACAGCACACTGTGTTACAGAACCACAATTGTTCTCATTCTGCTCAGCAGGGAGAACACATCTCCTTTAACAAAGCCATAATCACAGGCTTACTGTATACAGGTGGGATGAAAACAATAATATATTTATATTAAATAGGTCGTAAGCTACTATCATTTTTTGAAAATACAGTTTGATTTTGGTCAGAGATAAAATAGAATTATTCAAGAGATCTAAATGTATAGTATTATTTCATTTCTAAACATGGGTACAGTGTACTGTACATCTTCCACAGCTTGTTAATGACATGCAATTAATCATCAGCAGAGGCCCTCACTACAATTTTAATGATGCATTTAACACACTGCCAATGTATTCCATCTTAACAGAAATGCAATTTCTTGAAAACCAAGTTTTATTGAAGTTATTTTAAGTGCTTATAAATAAATTTTATTATTATAATTGTTATTCTCTAAATTAAAGTATTAACGCCACCTATTCCAAATCCATGTATATTCCTAATGTGACATCTTATCTCATGTGTAAAGCTTCATACACTGAGTGGTTTCTCAAAGAGACAGGCAAGGAATGATGCCCAACAGCCCCAAGCCACTAACCTGTATGTATACTTAAGACAACAAGATGTGTCAGGCAAGCACCTATCAGGGATTTTACACTTTTTAACATTCTGAATAAACATACATGTTGTCTCTTGCGAGAAATGAGCAAACACACATCACAACATGACAGAATGGTGATGCACTTTAAAAAAAAGTCAGCTTGCAGTAGAATGAGCTGGCCTATTTAACAAGCCTTCAATGAGCTTTGACAGGACAGTAATTTCGTTAGTATCCACATAAACAGCTTTACCATTGTTAAACAGGGAGTTTAACAGCATGAGTAGAAAAGATATCCTATGGAGTTACAGTACTTAATAATCATGTAGGAGCTCTTTAAACTAGGCTGAACCACTGAATAACACACTGTGTCTGTATCATACCCCACACTGATATGCATGAAAACTTTGCATGGCATAGCTCGCTGAGTTTTTTCAGTGGTCAGCATTTATCTGAACTAAAATCCCAGATTATCCTTGGGAGTTAGATTGCTTGCCTTTGAGATGTCCCATTGCTCTGATGAATAGCATTAATTTAACCCATTGTCTTGTTTAAGTCTTCTTCAATGAACATTCTCTTAGTTTTACAACTGCATTTAAGCTGCGTTTTACAGGATGGGAATTAAAAGCCTACAGCACATTAACAAGTAACATATGTGTAAGGTACTGGGGTAATTTCCAGTAAAAAGCCTTAATTGACCTAACCAAATACCAGGCCACCTATTCAGAATGCTTTACCAAAAGACTTAGACTTACAGTATGTGAAAAACTATACAGGTAATACAGTTCATTAATGGGCCATTGAACATGATGAAGCCAAAAAAACTATTTCTGTAAAAACAGGTAAATACATGCCTTGGATAACGAGAGGAAGTCGTTAGAACTAGGCATTGTCTGTGCGAATTCCTCCCACGTACACAAGCAAAAGTATCCAGATTTTGAACACAGGTATGTTACAGGAAAAATAAACACTCAAGATCCTGTAAGGACAAATCCCATATAAAACCGTATCTGCCTCCAATAATTAAAAAAAGAAACTTGGCTGTCCATCACTTGATGAATAAAGGCTCCACACTCAACGGTGTGTGCTTTTTTAAATTCTCGTAGAGCCGGAGGACATTCTGAGGAAACCACTGCTGAACAGGGTGCTTTATCTGCTGACTTTTCCCCCAACCTTAACCCTTTTGTTCCACCCTTCCCCCTGCACACACACCATCAGTCACACTCAGCCAAATAAGGTGTCATCGCTGTCTTGCCTTCCAGTCAGCTCTGGAGCCTGACAAACCCTTCCTGTAACATAGACATCGGAATGTTAACTTCAGGGGCCCAGGTGCTGGTGAGCAAATAACCTTTGAACAGACCCTGGCTGCACAAAACAGCAGCACAGCCACTCCTAAAAAAGTTTGTTAAACCAGAGGTGGTTCTGCCCTAATTGAGTTCTTAAGGCTTCCACGGCTAGAAGTAAGCATTTCTCTTTCTTGAGTCGGGAGTGCTCCAGATACAAACACTCTCGTTCCCTACCTGGTGCTGAGGCTCACTGCCAGAAACATTGGTAGATAACTTGGAGCACTAACGGCGTACCTTTTAAGAGACGCACGCATACTGATGGGGAAACCACGACAACGTTATAAAAATGTAACCTGACCCCTGAGCTCCTTAAACGTTTAAGTCTGTTTTTTGATGGAAGTTAAAAATGCCCTAACAAACAGAAATGTGTGTGTGTGTTTTTTTTACAAGTGTTACCTCGAGCTAGGTCGAGATAATGATTAAGCCCTTTTCATTACAAAATATTTCCAGGCTGCCCCTGCACAAAAGACAAAGGGCCTAATTTTCCCTGTGGGCAAACTGTGTGGAAACTACCCATCTAAGTCATTTACTGTAGAGTGGGCAGAGAGCCTACAGCTTGCCCACACTGAAAACAAGAACCAGTGTGTATGGACGAAATATACTTCTTGCTGGATGTTTGAAAAAAGTTGTGTGTAGGAGAACAAGCTTGCATCATGCTTCCAGTGATTGTGATTTTCAAAGTGAGGTCTTAAAGGATAAGCAAGCCTTTCAAGCAAGTAAAATCCAGGCAGTTTCTAGACACTGTCAGCAGAGAAGGATTTACACATGCTAGAAATGTCAGTCTTCAATGAGGCTGTGCAGACATCCTTAATGTTTTAAGACGACTTTCATGTTCCACAGACCCCCACCACTGCAGACATATCCCTGTTCTGCTTCTTCTCAAGGAACTGCAAGCTAGTCTGTTTTGTATTCAGTACGTCTGCATTGAAAACTTTAAAACACAATCTTTAGCTCTCTTATACCTGTGTGCTCCTTAGTCTGTTTAAAAGGTTAAATATAAACACTTTATAGATGGTGCATTTCATAACTTCCCCTTTTAACTGGGTTAAGCATCCCAAATTACACCTTCACCACCACAGTTTTAAAGAAATGTAAGGCAAAGATGCAGCAGTTTTATCCTTTCCACTAACAGAGTCAAGCACAGCCTCACACACAATCCCTTTAGGAGCAAGTAATAGGTTTATCCCATGCTGAAAAGAGAAGAGAGAAAACACAACGTTTCGGCCTTTAAACACAGCCTACACAAGTGGGAAAACAACTGTTCTATGATCAAAAGAAACATTCAAGAAAGAGGCTAGTGTTTATTAATGGAACTAATCAGGCTCCCAGACATTTCTTAACTGCTTATGTTAATCAGAAGTAATGTATTACTGATCGTTTGAAGTAATACATGAAACAAAGTACAGTTTGCCTCTCCTTCATCATGCTAATAAATAACTACTTGAGTCTGCTGTGCTGCCTGGTACTGACACCACTAACATCACAATGGGAAACGTTTGTTTGAGAAACTACACTCATTTCAGCTAAGATCCAGTAAACCGATATACAAAAGGCCAAGATTGCTTCTCAGCAGGGTCTCACCTACTGTAATATTTAAAAAAAATTCCAATATCTAGTGCATTCTCATCTTCAGTGCATTCTTGTCCATGGTTCTTTGTTATTGTAACTGCCATCACTTTAAAATAAATTCAGATTTCCAGCCATACACACAAGAAACAGCACATTGTGTTTCAAATAGTGATGCTGCTCATTTAAAATAACTGCTGATTGAGGATCCTTCTTCAGAACCAGATGTTTAGCATGATTCCATTTTAAAATGGAATTTAAGACCTGCTGTGATGAGACATCTGGTTTTCAGAAGGGACGTCTTGTAATAAACTGATTTACTGGAGGGTGGGACTGTGGCATAGGCAGGTAAAGTTGCCCAAGGTCAGAAAATGGATATCAAAGTTAGAAAGTTAGCTGTGACTGAATATTAGGATGTCTTGGCATTTTATTAACCCTAAGTTGGGGCCAGTGGAAAAAAAAACTTTCTTATTTGAATTGGTCAGAAATGCAAAAAAAAAAAGAGAAAAACATCAATATTGATTGATCATTTGTATATTTCAATGAGAAAGAGAAACAAAATAAGTGCAACTGTTTAAAACATACAAGCTATACTTTAAAAGGCATTCTCATTCAAACTAATTTCCCCAGTGTTTTCTGCAGGCAGAGCTCAACAAGACTGACAAAGCATGTTGTTAATTTAGAAAGCTTATAACATCTCTCATCTGTGAATCCTGTGGCCATACCCAACTTGCACAAATTTAGGCAGAAGGAGTCATTTAAGGCATGGCTGTAAACCTGAAACCTTACACTTGCATTCTGTGCTAGCATTTCTTAAGTTACCTGTTTAATGCTATAGGAAGCCTCGTTACTTTTCATAACCATGAGTTACGCAAAAACAATTAACTGGCCATTTTAAAACTGCAGCACCTCCGCGATTAATGCAATTCCACTGAAGAAACATAATGTTCGAGGAAAGTACCTAATCAGCCACATCATCTATCTAACCCCCAAAAAATCTAACCCCAGTTTAATCCACCCCTCACTGTGAGGGGATTCAGAAAACAATGTGTCCTGTAGGCTCATGTGATTTGCAGTCACGAAGTGCCTTGCAGTGCTGTGGACAAAATAGGAAACATAACTGCTGGGATGCTCTGATTTCACAGCACAATTTGGGGTTAAAATGGAGAAAAACAGTCCTGCTGCACTGAACATCACCGCCACCAAAAAAACATAGGGACCCAGGTACAGACACACAGAGGTCGACAACTATCACAGTGACTGCAAACACAAACATGAGAATGAACTTCAGGGCACTGCAATTTGGGCACCACAAACTGCTCTGGGAACCGTTTTTCACACAGAACAGACAAGTGTAACTCAGACTGGCCCCAGGACTTTTCAATGCACTGCTGTACTCCACAGTACAGTATGTTCACCACTCCTGTAACCTCTCAGCACTTGAGGGAATCCTACCTTTTGGGTGACTGATTCTCCTGTGAGAAGCCACATCTTCCATCTGCACCTGCTGTTGCGGCTTGTTTTTAACCAGGTTCCCCTCACTGCCAGCTCGCAGCAGCTTTTCACCTAAGCTGATTGTTTTGGATCGGCTGTTGAAATTTTCCTTCCTGGCCGACGGGAGCTTGGACATGGCACCAGCTGATGAGGGTCTTGCTAAACGCGAAGGCTTGGACATCTTGCCTTGCTGAGAGTCCGGATTTACTTCCAGCCCTTCTGTATCTGCTCCCGTCCAGTCCTCTCCGGCTGTGTCGTGCTGTAATAATCCCTACTCTCTGGGTCCCGTTTCGGAAAGTTGACGATGGGGATGGAGGTGAGGGGAGAGCTGGTTGTTTGCTTTGGAAGTTGCGCTCCTGCAGCTGGATTAACATGCCCTGCCGTTGGAGCTCATCTCCCCTTCAAAACAAAAAAGGCACTGTGTGGTCGGCAGACAGTTATCAGACCTGTGGAATGTGAGGATGTTGCTGGGATAAAAGCAGATGAATAATCTGCCCCTGTGTCAGTGAATCCTGCCTTTTTCTCCCTCTCTCTCTCTCTCTGGCTCGCTCCCTATCTCACGGCACACTGAAGAACAGATGCTCTGTCAGTGGCTGTTAAAACCCTCTAGCAAGCACAGACTAGACACAGGGCAGAACTACAGCCGAGCAAAACATTCCAACAGAGCCCGCCTCCTCAGGTATACCAGCAGGAAGCCAATCCAGATGTGAGCTTTTTTCTCGCAAGCCAGCCTGTTATTCTTACAGCTTCACAAGCCGGCCAGAGGATTTTTGCCAGCTTGTATCACTTTTTCCCCCCTTTGCTTTGTGGACTCTGCATGCAAACTCCAAAAATAGGTGAATTGTTTGTGAGCAGGAGCTCCTGGAGACACAGTTGTACGCCGTGAAAAGCAGTTAAGAAACATTAATTAAAAGAAGAGTGGGGTTATCATTCAGCCACTGCATGCAGTTGTGCCTCACTTCTGTGCAACATAAAGCTAATGAGACATAAAGATGTTCAGTCATGTGTGCTGCTCTGATAGGCTGGTGCAGTAAGACTTGCCTGTAGTGTGTAGTGTGCAGAAAAAACACTTCAGCAGTGGATTATTCTGGTGCTGGAATGCTGAGGCACTGAGTTACATCTTAAACAAACTCATCCGTGAATCACTATTTGTATAGAGATTTAACTGAAAATACAACTTTTTTATTATTGCATTTGTAAGTAAAAACAATAATACTTTATTGTTACTATAAACAATACTATTCACAGTGTTGTACCTCAGAGAAGAAATTGAACCTATTTTTCTGAACATCACTGTGAATGTTTAGAGCTTGAAGTCTACAAAGAAAAACATTAGCAATGTAAAATCTTTTTTTTTTTCAGACTCAGTTTGGGGAATCACATCTTTTGACACCTACAGACATGCTCCTTAACTACATACTGCATGACTTTTTGATGTGTCAAGCATGACTGTCCACAGTTTCAGAAGCTGTTATCAAGCAACTGAGACCCCAGGTAACCCACATCAAAGTGGATGATTAAGAGCTGAGAGTCCTCCCCCAGGACCATTTTATCAGAGGAAAGAATCTTTATCAACACTTCCAAAAGGCTCGTCAAACTGTGAAAACAGTCACTGGACATGCTAGGATTGGCACCGGTACTATTCTGAGGTGTCTAAGCGAAAGAGAAATCCATTCTTGAAAGCCTGCTCAGCACTCCCGTCTTGCTCCAGGAGACGGGATGATCCATGATCTTATATAGAGTTTATAAGAAGCGTTCAGGAGGAGGTCAAACACTAATCTCACCCATTACTGCCTAACTTCATTTAAATATCATGCTTCTTGGTCACTTGCTTGCGTGTTTTCTTCATATATATACTTATGTATACTGTAGGCTGTCTCAGCCAGAGTTTGCCGAGTTACCCCATTAAAGCTCACTAACTGAGCTTTCTACGCCCTAATTAAGGTTTGACTGAACTACTGAATAATTATTTCTGGTACATAATTAATTGTTAGGTTTGCGTTTTTCAAAAGCTGCCCCAGACCCCAAATGGACACTAAGTGGGAGATCATAAGAACATGGAATGAAAATTTTAAAAAAGATTGGTCTCAGAAATGGAGTAGACTTGAGCAGGTCACTGTGGCTATGCCTCTTCTTACTGTGAGAGGCAGACACAACTGGTATTGAAAGTAACTTTTTCACCTGTTCTTGCGTAAGCACGTAACGCACAAACAGCAAAGGTTAGTTTCACTTGAAATGACATCTGAATAAAATTACAGTACTCTCTAATGACTGCAAACTAATGAAAACCAGAACATCAGATTATACCTATGTAATGTTAATAGCTGCTTTTCCTGGAGAGCTATGTACAGTAACAGGAAAACAATTTTATTTTCAGTGAGGCAAAAAAAAGTCTGGGATCTGTGCTTTTATCTGTAACACAATAAAAAAAATATATAATAATGGCAATTTCACAACACAATGATAAGCAATCTTCCCCAAGCTTGATGTATATCATGAAGTTGACTTCTGGTCTGTAATATGAATCTCTGAAAGGCCAGCGAGAAAACAAATGTGTAAAAATGGAACAAAATTGAAAGACATTTAAATCCTGTGTGAGTCTCCAGTGAATGCCAGACTAATTATCTGGTGATAAGGACTGCTGACTGCTGAAATGCAAACCCAAAGTGGCTAAGGAGAGGTAATACTCCACAATAACAACCTATTTTACGGGAAAAGTGGGCATCTGAAAACCAGCACAGGGACTACTATGCTAGCATACAATAAGAATTTTGTGTTTAAGCATACATGCTATTTCATGTTCATCTATGCCAAGCAAGTTCTTAAAAGAGCTTGTATGATGAATGTTTTCAGTTCCTTGTATAGTAATTATTCTAAACGTTTCATATATTTAGCAGGTACTTTTCAAACCTATTTTCAAGTGAATTGATGCTCAGTATTATTCTATAATCCATCCATTTGATATATTACCACTATTCCAGTTATTCTGGTAGGGTAGGTAGAAAGATGAAGACTGTCCGGGAGGAGCAAGGAAGGATTGATTAAAACCGATCCCTTATGTAGCTGGGAGAGCAGAAAATAAGTGACAGACCACAGGAAAAACAACAGCAAACAGCAGGATCCACAGAGACTGACACCCAGGGAGAGCTGCGGCCTTGCTTACTGCTACGCCACATTGCACATGAATAGAAGTTTTATTTCTGCTTTTACAATAATTCCCGACTTACCACCAGACTGGCACATCCCCACTAATAAACGTTATAAATAATCTCTGTGCAATCGTAACGATCTTTTCAAGATGGCGCCGTTTATATTGTTGATGTTGTTTATTATTTTTTATTTCTAAAGGGGAGCATTATTTCAATTACATTTACAACTTAAAAGCTGCAAATTGCTGTGTGAAGTTTTGATAATCATTCATATTAGGTATACAGTTTCCCGCTGATAAATTCTGAGGACATAGAGACGCACAGCTCCTCTGCAGAATTAATTCTGGTTTAAATGGAGTGAAGCAGGTTACTGGGCCAGGCCATCAGCTACAGTGAGTGCGAAATTTGCACAGAAAGGGAGAAGGAACCAACATTTTGGTGCGGACATATCTATTTGTACTAATCTTTTGTTTCCTTTAAGAATTTTTCTGACATGAATGTGTCCATTCTTTAAAGAATGACCACCATTTCTTCTTCCCTTAAATTAGTCTAACCCTCCAGTGGACCTCTTCCTGTTCAATCAAAGTCTCTCCCCCCTTGGGGCACACTTTAGGGCAAACTCCATTTATTATGCCATTCTGTTTTACTGTTTTCATTTTCCTGTATTGTTTGTTATGTATTTTTACCCTAAAATGTAGTCAAATTCCTGTAAATGTGCACTGTTAAGAATGATTTCTATTGAACATATGAAAGGTTACAGAAGAAATGAGGCTGTCCTGCCCATCTAACCTGTTATACAGCAGTAGTTAGTAGCTAACAGATTGAGGATCTAATCCAGCCATGTCTCGAAAGAAGCCAGGGTATCAGTTTCCTCAACAGCTAGGAACACACAATCTTGTTCCAGTCTCCCACAGCCCTGTGGGTAAGGACATGCCTCCTGTTCTTGGCTTGAAGTGCACTACCACATCGTCCTCGCTTGTGCCCTATTGAAATATTTCGCTATAATTTGTTATCTTCAAGTACAGTGATTTTCAAAACTGATGATAATGCGTAATTGTACTTTCTATATAGCTTTTTATTAGCCACAGTCTACTGTGTTTTTGTGTTTTCTACAATGTCCAAGTAATTATTCACTAATTATTCACAATTATTCATCTTTTCACACTCCAAAACATGAAAACCTTAGTCCCTCTGACAATTCATTATCACTAAAAAGAAAAAATAAACTTTGTTCTGAAATAGGAAATACTTTAGTAACAACCTAAAACTGCAGAATACACAATTGTTTCATTCAAGAGAATATTGGAATAAACAAAAAACAAGAAAATGCATATTTAGAATGCTCATTGTAATATTTTATATATCCAGTAGCTATAAAGCACAAGAGCAAAACTGCAACATATTACTATGAGTGGAGAGTATGTTGCAGTGGGGTAGCAATAAGTAAATAAAAGATGTTTACTAAAATGAAGAGTAGTAAACTAAATTGATATAAAGTGTAAATTATGTAAAACTGCAAAGGAATTAAAATTATCTTCTTAAATTAAACAAAATTGTATCTTTCAGCAGCTGATAACTTCAGAACATTTACGGTTTCAAAACACAAACCTTTCAAATATTTTTTAAAAGTCTTTTATATTGTCATATAAAGTCTTGAGCTAGTCATGTCACTAAAGCAACAACCCCAATACCGTATGAATTTTGACATGTAGTCAAAAACAAATCGCCTGTGTGTACTTTAAATGACAAAAATGAAAATTGCTCTTCTAGAAGAGATATGAACATTATTGTATGCTAACAATTTGGATAACCAAACAAAAGAATCATGAAAATGAAAGTATCATTGATGTGTCTGTACTTGTATTCAGGTGATCACAGTCAGAGTGCTACAGTACCATTATTTTCCTTCCAGTGTGGGCATGTAACCAGCTGGGATGTATAATCCTAAAAGTCCCATCAGTCACCTATCTCAAATAGAAAATGGCATTGCTATTCTCAACTCTCTTTTAAGGGAACATTTTCCATTATATAACACAGAGAAAGCACAGTGAGGAGTACAGTCAAGTCCAATACCAAGCATATAAAATACAAGAACTTTTAAAAACCCCATGCGGTGTTATAATGATAAACGTTTATAAGGACTCAAAATATTTCTTTTGCAATACAATTGTTGGTACTGTTTATGTTTTCATGTTTTACAAGAGACAAACTCTTGTAAAAGATTTAATGTTTTACAAGAGTTTACAGGTTTAGACAAGTTATGGAGAGAGAGACAGTTTCCCCGCCTTACCAGTATCAATTTGCTTCCCTGTTTAAAGAGAAAGAAGTGAGCTATGCATTTCATTTGCAGTGATTCATAGTTATTCTTATCCCCTGAAGCTTTTCCCCGCACTAATGACAGTGTTTCCACTCTCGTAGAGACCCTCCTCTCTGTGCAGAGCTCACCTCTGGATTAGTATGAGCCAGAG